GGAAGGGGCTGCCCAGGGAGGTTTGGAGTCCCCATCCCTGGAGGTGCCCAAGGAAGGCCAGGCCTCAGTGCTCTGGGCTGGGGACAAGGAGGCATCGGGCACAGGGGGGACTCCACAGTCTTGGAGGTCTTTTCCAGCCTTAATGATTCTGTGATCCTTACTGGGAAAGTGCCAAATAATGAGCAAATAATGATCATTAGAAACAAGCATGGCCTGGCAATGGAAACAGTGCTCCCCCAAAAATACACCAGGGTTTTCCTTTAGATACAGGTTCTGAGGTCAGGGCTGGTGGTAATTATAGGCCTTTGGGTTTCAGTGTGACACTTTCTGGAATTTTATTTGTAAAGGCTTAAAGCCTGGCAGCTGAAACAGTACCCACATGATAGGGAAAGAGATCACTTAACCCAAGGGAAGTGGGTATTTCACAATAAAATTTAACTTTTGAGTAGAAAGCTAGTTGATTGAAATCAGACCTTCAACATAATTTTTGTCAGAAATAATGATAAATTTAAACACTAAGTTTTGTATGATCTTACCTAGAGCTTGGGCAGCCCAAAAGAGTAGTCAAGTCTGTGGAGTGCTGTTTACATGTGCAAGGTGACTCTGGGTATTCACTGTGTGAGCTCAGGGAAGGAAACAAGGAAATTCAAGCAAGAGAAAGGGAAGGAAGAGGCAGAACTGTCCATGGCCAGCTGGGGGGGACCAGCCCTAAGAGTGTGAGGCTGTGAGCACTGCCCTGTGGCAGAGAGCACAGGGAGATGTGAGGCTGGCTTTGAGAGGAAAAGGCTTTCATTCAGGAGGTGAGGATGGCTTCTGTGGTGGGGAAAGCTTGGGCTGAGCAGCAGCAGTCCATGAGCTGTATCAGCTCCACTAAAAAAATTCCAAGTACCCCATCACTCGTACAGCATAGCTTACAAAAACACACATTTAGAAGATACCAAAACCCAACTAACTTGGCTCTCTTGGCACGTATTTTTGTTACATACTATAACCTACACTGGAATTTCCTTTACAAGCTTACAGCCAGTTAATGATGGCTTTCAGACAGACTGGCTTTTAGCATCTCTGAATGATGACATATTTGAGGAATACTGTTTTGGTCATGGGATCAGACTCACCCTTTTGTTGTCATAGAGAAGTGCTGATTATGCCTCCTTGGAGTAATAAAAACTGCTCTGTCTTGCCAAAACAGGGATTTATCCTCTATAAGGCCACTCAGGGCTTCCCAAGGGTTTGGCTGGCTGAAAGCAGCTCTGAAAGCCCATCTGCTGAAATCTCTGTGTGCTGTTGCAGGCCAGCCCATGTGCTTAGGACGTGGTTTCCTGGCAGAGGGCAGGCAGCAGTAGTTTCTCTCCAGTTGTCTAAGCCTTGCCAGAAGAAACCCTTGAGGACAACACAAGCCCCAGAATAAATGCAGTCTGTATACAATTAGAGAAGTGCAGTGCCAAATAATTGAAGACGAGTCCAAGTTCAATCTCTCACAGTTTAAATCTGTGTTTCATCTTTAGCTTTGTATTTCAGGTCTTGAATGTTTCATTTTCCCTCTTTGACACAGTGCTGATGCAGGATGGGGTTCTGCAAGGACCTTTGTAAATAATATTCATGGGATATAGAGTGTCTTTTGTTCAGAAACAAAGTGGGGTCCTCATTACTGTTATCAAATGTCACATTATTATTCAGCAGCTGGGCAGTTCACCAGAAATGCACTTTATTTCTTGGCTTTCCAGCTGTGCAAGCAGCAGCTCTGCTGCGGGGGATCGGTGGGAGCTGCTGCTCCACTGCAGGAAACGCCAAGTCAGGTTTGCAACCTTCAAAAACCACCAGACCCTGCACAGTGCGTTGCCACCAAAGCCCAGCAGTACTCTGGGCAACCCCTGACTGAGCAGAGGGTTTCACTTCTCCTCTGTGGGCTGTGACAGTGATCACGAGCGGGCTCAGCACACCCGTGGCCCCAGCACCACGCTGGGGAGCCAGTGAAAAGCCTTGCTCTGAGCAGCAGAAGGGGCTGGCAGGTGACCAGTTCAGCTGTCACTGGCTGCCCCAGGCTCTGCAGATTGAGACAAGTGCCACATTCCCTTTCCTTGCAGTGCTGGAGGCTGCAGGGCCTGGCAGTGCTTGTCCCAGGGCAGCTGCACCGGGAGCTCCACACTGCCCACCAGGACTGCTCTGTTCAGCTGGCAGGAAACTGCTACAGCCACTTTTTAAATAACAGTCACACATTTCCACATGGAGGATGGATCTTTACCATGTTCAGGTGTAATTTTCACACTGGTCTGTAAACTGCTCTGTGGGCTATCAGGTCTGGGTATCTTGGTGTTTCCCCAGAACAAGTCAGGCTGGAGATGGAGCTGATTACTGCTAGAACTGTAACTATAACCTCAAATTTTATTCAGATAAGGAAGTTATCCTCCCCCCACACACACCTGCTTCTTTTTCTTTTGATCTCCACAGAATCTCACAATGGGTGGGGTTGGAAGGGACCTCTGGGGAACATCTAGTGCACCCCCTGTTAACCTGCCTTATTAATTTTTTATTCCATCTGGGATACCTACAGAGCCAGAAAGAAGCAGCAACATCAAGTTGCTGATGAATAAGCTTTGCTCTTTCCTGATCCTGTTTATTCTCACTGCCTTGCTCCATTTTCTAATCACCATTCTTCATCTCCCAAGATAATTTTTTTCTCTCTATTCCCCCCATGCCATTATTTCTTCCATATATTTTAACACTCTTCTTGAGCTACTAATTTTTCCCAAATACTCGAGCTGCTCTCTCGAAGGTCAGCATCTCATCCATGCTCTTTCTACCCTTCAGTGCAGTTTTCAGTTCCCTCTGTCCTGTGTTGGAACCATTTAACAGCCACTCTCATACCTGCCACCAGAGCTTGTCCAGGCAAGATCCCCATGTCTGCATTCAGCTGCTCACCCCTACTGCTTCAGTCTGGCTTTGTGTTTGTCCTGGTGACTAAATTGGCATCTCCTTAGTCTCCTCAAGCCAGTATGCAGTGGCACTACACTTTGTTTTTCTATAAAAATGCAGCA